AAAAGGCAGTTTTAACTGATCTTTTTGTTTCAAGAAGAAAAAAACATCTATGTGGGTTGCATCTACAACACTAAGAAAGATATAATTCATTCATACATATGAAATGAAGCTGTCAAAGGATTTCACATCATTGCTTATGTGATGCATTTTTCCAAAAAATGGTCAAACCAATAATAATAACAACAAGAAGGTATATATTTAAACAATAGAGTTTAAGTTTTAAAAAGTGCATAAATCAGACCTTAAGAATTTGACATTTTTTCCACCAGTTTATGATTTCAAAAGCACTTTATCTTCTGATTTATGTTCAATTGTCAATAGCTTTTCACTGTTTAACTTTGGGGTTTCTCTACTACCACGTATACTCCCACTCCTACTAAGCTAACATAGTTAATGATTTGTAAAACATTTGTGTGCTTAAAATCCATCAAAGACTTTTAAAAAATATGTCTAACCCTAAAAAAAAAAGAATCCCTGTTGCATAAATGTAGCTTTTATTTTCAGTGACTTTTAACAAAAAAGGCATAACACATGTATATTCAAAGGCAAAGTCCCCTACACTTAATAGTAATAACAGCTACTACTCACGACTTAAGCTGTGAATTAGTAGTTTTACAAACATTAATAGTCAACTTCTTAATAACCCTCTCAGGTAGACATTGCTTTCCCAATTTACCAGATTCGTTAACTGAGGATATAGAGACTTTGATAATATAACCCCAGGTGATTCAATCTCAGAGAGTAGAGCATAAACTGAAACCCAAGTATGTTTAGATGCAAAGCCTATGGTCCTTTTTTTCTCATACCATGTTTGCTCAATTGCCCATTTTATATCATTTCTGGAGCCAAGAAGTTGTATCTTTCAGAGGCTGACATGGCTCAATTTTGACAGCTTCCCAAACTTGATCCTCCATTTTCTGTACTTGCCATAAAATTCAACAGGATTTTGCCAAACAGATTGTGTGCTGGGAATGATAAAACACGAGTTATTTGCCCTGAACAAGATAACTGAGTCTTACAACCTAAATGGGTTTTGATCTGTTTTCCCCAATTAGCTCAGTATCATATTGCCAGTGCATCTTTGCCCCTTGTGCAGTGAGAGCAGAGAGGGGACCGGTCCCTCCCGTAATTCTCTGAAATGAGTCAATGTAGAATAATCCAATTCACCTACCTTTCAGGAAGTGATCCCCAAACTTGGTATCGTTCACTTAAAAATGTTTGCAAATAAACAGCATTAGAATTGGAGAAAAAGACCCCAATAAGTCTGGCACCTGCCTCCACTTCCCCTTCCATTCCTTTCTTAATTTTGGACACAGAGCACTTAATGAGCATCTGCTGTGTGCCGGTCATTTTGCTATGTGCTATGGGTAGTAAGTACAGTACAAGGAAGAATAAAGGTCACAACTGGTTTAGAGAAAGGGCTATACAAGCCAGAACCAGAAGTTTCTCAGTTCCTACCCCACGTCTGTATTATTAATAGTTTGCTAGGGCTACCATAACAAAACACCACAGATTGATGACTTAAACAACAGAAATTTATTTTTTCACAGTTCTGGAGGCTGAAAGTCCAAGATGAAGGTGTCAGCAGGGTCGTTGGTTTCTACTGAGGCTGCTCTTCTTGGCTTGCAGATAGGTGCCTTCTTGCTGTGACCTCACATGGCCTTTTCTTTGTGTGTGCCATCCCCAGTGTCTCTTATAAGGACACCAGTCTTATTGGATTAGACCCCCACCTTTTTGACTTCATTTAACCTTATTTACATCTTTAAAGACCCTGGCTCTAAATACAGTTACATTGAGGTTAGGGGTTCGACATATGAATTTGGGGAAATACAACCCAGTTCACAACAATATCCACTACATAACTGGCTATAATGTGTAGTGGAATGAAGTCAAAGTGAGTCAAAAACCATATGCATAGCAGGAGCATGAATGCTTCAATCAGAGGTTCAAATTCTAAATCTGCCACTCCTATTTGTGTAACCATTGGTGGAGAATTTTTGTTTTGTTTTGTTTTAATCACCTTGTCTTTGTCAGGCATTTTGGTGAAGTTTCTTAACCCTAGTGCTTCATTTGTTAATCTTTAAAATAGGGACAATAAAAGTACCTACGTCTTAGGGTTAATGTCAATTGCTCTATGTGTATTTAGTTAGTAAGCTGAAATACGAGTTGGCTATTAATGGTAGCTGAGTGGCTCTAAAGATGATGTTACTCCTCTTTCTTCTTTAGACACGACATCATACGAATTGTTATGAGAATAAAATGCAAGAGAAAAGATGGAGGAAATCAAATACTTTAATTGAGAGCTGTTAACATACATCAATTTTTAATTATAATAATTTATTTTCTTATCATGTGAAGATAGGCCCAACACAGAGAAAGACACTTTAGACTGCTAAATTTGTAGCCTAATTTCTTTTTACAAATCTTTGTTGAGCACTTATTACATGTTAGAAATTGTTCTCAGTATTTTGGAGACATCAGTGAACAAAATATACTGAAACCACTATTCAACTGACGCTTACATTCTAGAATGCTTATGGTATCACCTCCACATTTAACACCCACACACTTCCAAAATTGGAGGAAATAAGATACAGCAAACAGAAAAGTAAGGCAAATCCATTTACAACGTCATACAGCAAGTTGATACGAATTTATCATGTGGCCAGAATAAATTCACAAGAGCAATACCGATTCCGGGGCCTGTTGGATGGGCTTCCCTAAGTGCTGCCCTGATTTCTGAGACGCTGCTTTGAACTTACCTGACCGCACGCCCCTCCCTGCCCGACCGCCGCGTGCGTGGCGCGGGACTGAGCCCCTGCTGTCCCGCCGGGCCGGCTCCGCGGTCACCGCCCGCCTCTGACGCAGCGGCCCTCGCAGGCGCGGGTTTTTGAAACAGGGCGCGCGCCCAGAGGCGGAGCGCCGCGGTCCTGCCTGTGCCCTGCGGCCGGTGCCCCCGGTCCCGGCGCAGTGGTCGCCCAGAGTGCGAGTGACTTGGCTCGGGCTGGTGCCTCCAGGCCCACGTCACCGGTTTGACAGCCTCTCACCAAATCAGAGGGCGGCGCTCGCCGGGAGCGCTGAGCGTCACCGGGAGCTCCTGCAGATTAGAACTCGCCTCTCCTAACTCCTCCCCTCAGTCCCATTTAAAGCTCCCACTGGCTTTACGGGAAAATTAAGCGTGGGCTCTGTTTCTGCTGCGCTTTCTTCCACTGCAAGATGGTAAGTGAGGAACTGGCGTTAGCTAGTCCGCTGGCGAAACCTGGGTCTCCGAAAGCTAATAAGCTTTGCATTTAGAATTCGGTCCACCTTGGGAGCAACAGTTCTCTGCTACCTGCCCATTAAATCAGGCCCTCTATGCTGCCCTGTCTCCATTTATTATCTTCTATTTTCTCCTCGCGGGCACTCCCGCTCTCTCTCTCTCTCTCTCTCTCTCTCTCATTCATTCTCTTTCTCTCATTCATTCCCGTGCTCCCTCTCTATCTCATTCTCTCCCATTCATTCTCTCTCTCACTTTTACCCTGTTATTTCTACTCTCCTTACTTTCTCCCCAACTTTTCCTCTCCACCTGCACTCACTGTTGATTCCACCTCTTCCTCTAGATTATGCACATATTTGCTAACACCTGGACCTGAACTAGTCTAGGAGTATTTGGGGTTTGTTTTCTTCTCAGGTGTCAGTTGCGTAATAGCTTAGCTCTGATTCCAATAATAACCTCAGGGAAGAAGTCTGCAAACATGCTCTTAAAATAAAAGAAAATAGCACTTGACAAACTTTTGGTCGAATTTCTTTGATCTGCACTGCCCAAGCTGGACTTGCTTAAGCACTGGACTTTTTCAAAATTTAACTTACCGGGAACATTAACAAAGTGTGCTTTAATTGATTTATTTTTTTTCTTTTTCTTCATATTTGTTTCTCTCTGTTTATGTTATGCCCAAGAAAGTACTCAAGTCAACAAAAGGCTTGAGGTGGTCAAAAAGGGTTTTTCCAAAGCTGGGCTCTGCTAAAATTAATAGCTTTTACCTGATTAAACATTGACAAATAATTAGGAACGGGCTGTTGTACAAATTAATCCAGGAAGGCTGCATACCTACCCCTGCTTGGACATTTAGAAAGACTGTGTGTTTTTGGAGTTTGAGGTTTGAGGAGTAGGGGGGTGTGGAGAGTGTTCACTGGATCAGAACACAGTGGAGAATTTGTGCCAGTCAGTGGTGGCAAGATAGTTTGGAAGGGCATTGAGCCCTAGTGATGGGGAGAACTAGAGCTTGCTCTCCTTGCTGATGAGCTTCTTTCAGCCCTGATTATGTATTTTTGTAGAGTGACTTTATGTTCCTGTGCTTAGTGTTGGGAACAAAATTTACCTAAAGCTCTGAGACAGATATAAATGAATGGATAGATAGATACATACATAAATAGATGATAGATAGACAAAACAAACCGTTGATATCACCATGATCCAGCAGCATGTTAGGTAAAAGGGAGGAGGAAGGGAGGAAGGAGGCAAGTATATGATTCAGAAACTAAAATGAAGAGGTTAGTCTGTATGATGTCATATACTGTCCATTTCAGCTTTAGCATTCCGGGCTCTTTGTCTTTCAAAGTTATTAGAAATATAATTAAGATGTTTGCTAGAGAGACCAAATAGTTCTATGTCTTTGAATCACCAAGTGGAATTCCTTTTACTCAGAGCCTGGGTAGCCTATGAGATGCACTAGGCATTGCAACAGAGAGTACTCCTGGATATTTACAAATTTGGCCCATCCAATACTAGTCTGTTTTTTGCTCAGAAGGCCTGAGGGAAATACTGTGTAAACCAAGGAGCTGATTTCCTTTTAGCAATCACAATTTGATCACTCAAAAATTAATCTAGATCTATACATAACCCCTTTACTGTTTTTTATTATTTACCACATGCAATTTCCGTATGTTTCTCCCATCCTTTCTCCCCTCCAAATCCCCATCACCCTATCTCCTGGGACCCACTTCCCCACTGAATTTCACAGAACACCATTCTGCCTTGCCAAGACCAGTACTTTGTAGGAGGCCAGAGCTATAATTGCCCGTATTCCACTACAACGTCAGAATCTAGTGTTGATGTTTCCACGGATACTTGGGTCTCTTTCTGGGCTGCTGGTCTCCTGGACAACAGAGAGCCCCAACAAGCACCACAAGCACAGGGTAAGTTCTGCTCTTCTGCTTTCCTGGTAGATCTGGAGCCCCTTTCCAGTACCCATGTCTGCAAAGCATCACGGGCTGGGACTCTATAGAAGAAGGGATGATGTGGGAAATTTAAGTAAACCCGAAGACTCCTGAATTTTAAAGTCATAAAGCCTGCTGATTTGTACTTGCCAAATAGTGTAAATGGAATTCTTCTCTTTGCCCACTGGATAACATGTATTTCTCCCTACATGTTGCAGTTCTTGGAGATTCCCAACTCACGGAGAGAGTCTGGGTCTGAAACAAAGTTTAACAAACAAAACTCTAGTGGAGTGCTTTTGGAATCAAGATACCAATTCGAGCATTTCTGTCAGAATTCAGGAAAGTTTCTCTGTGTTTGAGAGGAAAGCAAGAAATACTAACTTAATCTTTTATTTTA